ACCCAAGGAAGGGAGAAAAGAACAAGAATCATTTCAAGTTGATCTCTGGGATCTAACCCTTTAAGTAAAGTTTAAAAGACAGAGATGCACACTCCCTCTGAGAGTCAGAATATTCTACCACAAAAGAAGGATGGGGAAGACCTAATTTGAAGCAGTTCCTGTGAAAAAGATCTAGAGATTTTAGCCAACTAGATGAGTAACAGGAACCAAAAAGTGCCTTTGCTCTTCAAAAGCTCTCTCAGCGATGTGACCCGGAGGAAGATGGACACCCAAAGTGCAGCTGAACTGTGCCCTTTCTGCGCCGCGGCCCTGGCGTTCTCTCTGAGTCCTCATCGCTCTTCCCGCACACGCGCTTTACAACCTTGCATCGATACGCAGGGCACACAGGCAACTCCTCGCTCCAGATTGCCCATGTTTTTGATAACAGGACCACGTCATTTTTCTTTATAAACTCAGAATTCAGTGTAGTGCCTCACACACATTTAAGAAAGAAGAGCTAGACTGAAGAACTCAATGCCTTGGCTGAGATATACAGATGTGCAGTATCTCAATTAGCTATAATGCTAAAAAGTCATGGAATGATTTTCACGTAAAGCACCAACTACTTTGCTATTTCATTGCTCAATTTAGACACAGAAGGAACCAAGCCAAGGCTCTTGCCTTTCCCCAGGTGGCTTTAAGAAGTTTGAAGTTCAAATCCAAATGTACGAGCATTTGCTGATTGAACAAATGAATGAATGAATGAATGCTTTGACATCAACAAAATAAGGGCAAAGTTACTAATGATTTCAACCATATCTCCAATCCTAATCCCTAAATGCATTAAAGCTTGAGCCCTAGACATATTTGTAGATGGTGAGAATTTAATTGGAAAAATACAGGAGAGGTTAGTTTACAAGCCGGTTTTAAGATTTGTCTGAGGAACTTTAATTGTGAATTCGATGAGTATTTTCATTTGAAGAAAAAAGGCATCCTCCTTGGACATTGCATGATGCATATTGGAGAGTTTGAAACATAACTATAAGCCAACATTCAGTAAGTATTTTATTTGGAAGTAAATCAGAGGTTGAAGATTAGTCTTTTGGAATACACTAGACCAACTGAATCATAAATGCTGACTTTTAAGGACAAGAACATATGTAATTTTGAGAAAAGGTCAATGCCTTTACAAGGTAGATGAGAGTCTAGTGCGGTCCCTATCACGTCACAGGGTCTCGTCTCAGAGACAGCACAATCGGCTGCTCCAGTCCTGACGCAGTTCGCAGTGTGTCTCCCTGTTCGAGTCTTCAGTCCCATCACCAATGCCCCAGACACTCGTGAGAGCCCTGCAGGGCACAACTAGGCAGGGTATTGAAATAACATTGTGATTACGCCATGAAAGTGAGAGGAGAGGAAAAAGGAACAGAAGCAGCTGTCAGAAAGGGAGACAGAAGACACTACCTGCCTGAACCCACCTGTCAGGAAGCGACTCCCTGTGGAGAGATAGGCCCATTATAAGAGACAAGGAAATGAAATCTCTTTCAATCAGAAAGAATTATCCCTCTTCTACTGATGCTCGTAATGTTTCTAGAATGAAGCGAGAGGTGGAGGAAATGTTCTGTCTTCTTCCGGTTCATTAGTTCCCTAACTGTCCCTTGTAGACCCTTAAATTCACAAAACGATAGCTAATAAAAGAATGGTTTAAAAGTTTCAAATCCAGCATATTGGGAAGTTCATGGAATAGAAATCTTAAAAATATAAAATATGCAGAAAAAATGAAAATGATGTCTATACTTTCCCTTTTCCCTTGGGAATTAGGTCAAGAATTGTCAGGGGATGCACTTAATTTCATTAAGAAATTAGTAGTGAAATGCTATTTCTATCGGACTCATTGGTGAAGTCAGTTATTCTTTTATAAAACTGAAAAAGTGAGAATGATATTCATTTTGGATTTTCACTCTCCAGTGTTAATCATTTAAGCAGTTAAATATGCTATTTTCAGATAACACATAATTTAAATAACCTGATGTAACCTTTAGAAGGCTCCAACACAATAGAACTAATGAAGCATTTTATAAACTTAAACTAACCAAGGATTTAGTTCTAAAAGATCGGTATCACCAGATAGCACCAAATCCTGAAACTCCCAAAGTTCAGAGAGGCAGAGAGAGTAAGTTGTGATCAACTGTTTAATGAAGATAACCCCTTACGATGGGAAATTAAGTCTGGGGAAATAAAAGCCCTTGCTTCAAAATAAATCACAGTAATTAACACTCGGTGAATAACTATGTGATTTGAGACTATAGGGGGAAATATGGCAAGCCCACCAAACATAGATCAAAGAGAAATTGAATACCAGAGCTGAACAAGATCAGCCCTAACCCTGAGCGGCCGTGAAACTTAGGCATCGTCTGCATGTGTGGTTGCCTCCCAGTTGCTGATGTTTCAGTCTTACATTCATGGGACTACGACTCCCAGTAATAAGTAACACTATATTACGAAAGGAAGATGGGAAGTTGAAGAACATATTATAGCCCCTAGTAGAATCATCTTTGTTACAGAATGTGAACCAACCCACCAGAAACGTGCTCAGTGGGAGTTTGTCTGTGGTGGGGAGACTCGGGCACAGGAGTCAGTAAACTTGTTTGAACCCAGTTTCCTGCTGGGCTATCTCAGGCAATTCCCAAAACTGTTGAGCCTATAATTTCAATAGAATGAGGGACAATATTACGGAGACCTCTGTGATGATAAAAATGATTGCTTACAGGCATTGATGTTCATAAAGTCTTTAGACTTCACAGACAGGGGGCTGTTTCAAAGATTCTAAGGAACACACCCTGTGGAAGCCAAGGCTTGAGCCTGATCAGCTGCCTCCAAGCCTGTGGTCTGTCTACTCCTAACTCTGTCAAGGGTTTCCACAAGATGTTGTATGGGAAAACACATAGGTGCTCAGTACATGGTAACGATGTGTTTCTTACTTTCGTCTTGCTTGTACAGGAAATAAATGAAATAAATTCCTGGGAATACTAAGGGAGGAAGGAGAGAGAACAGGAGAGTGAGGCTATGCCTTTATGTGTCTACAAAAACAGAGGAGGGGCCGGTATACTTGAAGCTGCGCAGGATGACCATTTTAAGACGCACACGCACTTCCTGATCATGTGCACACGGCCAGTGAGGGCGGCTTGATGAGGTGCTGAGTCTTTGGACCTACAAAGCAGGTCAGGTTTCCCAGAGGAGCTGTAGCCTACAGGAGGGGGTAAAACACAGACATCTTGCAGCACTTCATCCAGCTGTTGAATTGAGAAACCCTAATTTCCCAGAAAATTTCCATCAAAATTGAAAACAAGCAACACATTCACTGACTCTATACTGCAATTCTTTAGCAAAATGATTAGGGAGTGGATTTGGGGTTGATTTTCTCCAGGAACTCTCAATGTGAGAGTTATTCCTTAGGGATAATTAAGTGATTTGCAAGTACACTGATCATCCATTCAGTGTCTTTCAGGACAATGAGACAAGTAACTTGGTAGCAGCTGAGAAAACCAAGAGTTGCTCTGAATGCTCAACTCTCAAAGGGAAGACACAGATGAAACTGTTGCAATGAATATAATTATTTACTGGCCATCCTTTTCAGACATTTCCATGTAATTCATACGCTTTCTTCACCAAATGAAAATGTATAAGACAGAGTTCTGAAATTCATCATGTCCTTACACAAATATAAAGCTTTAAGATTCAATTATTATTCTAATCAAACACTATTTATAAGATGATCCTAAACAGGAAGAGACAGAACCACAGAGAAGCCCACACATTACAGTTTTCTGACTGAAGCAAGATGGTGGCTCACGTGGGCCACATGGCGGTGAAGGATGCTGCAAACGTCTTTCGCTGCCACTGGAGGTATTAGCTCGCTAGCCTTCCGTGCAGAAGGGAATCATATTTTTCCTCAAGAAGTTTTTGATGTCAGAATCATTAGCTTTCCTAGAGTCCATGATTTAAATAGTTTATTCTTAGTTCGTACTGGTAAGAATAACATACGTCAAGCACATAGTGTTAATCTTTAGGACTAATTAAAGTTTTTTTGTTAATCTTTCTGCTTTCCTTTATTTTCTTCATTGCACTTATTTAGAGCAACTATTAAGAACATATGAATTCATTTTTATTTTTTCTTTCCTCATTCATTACATTCTTTCTTTATGCGAGTTCTCACTTACATATGTATTATCTAAATTGACTTCTTAATTATTAAAACCTGGAACGTACAAAGCTGAAATCCACTTGTCCAGATGGAAGCTTGTCTGTTTTATAAATATCCAGATAGAATTTACTATTTTGTTTTTAAATTTGCAAACATTTACTCACTGCCCTTCATCAGACCGTACATATTGGCCCTAGCTAAAATTTTATTTTAGTAGAACCAGCTTTACCAATTTAAACACGAACTTAAAACTTTTATAATATTAAGACAACAAAGCCTCCTATTTTCATGTGAAGTTCTTTTTAACATGGTTTTCTTGACATTCTCACTGCAACTTTCATAAAATTCTTACATTTTCTGGGTGAATTTGAGCATATGACTTGAAGGCAGATGTCTTCCCAGTAAATTCTTTGAAAAATATTAGTTAGTTAAAAAAAAAATTCACTCTATATCACTGTATTTTCCTCATGAGTTTCTATTTCTCATCACCAACATGATATGTCTAATAACTACAGTGACTTTCATTTGAATAATCTCAAGTAACAAAATTATTCTTTTAAAAAATTTTAAATGAGGTGAAAACCAGGCACAAATACAAATGACTTCCTCAAAGCCATATGCCAGAGTGGGAGAAGGTAGCTCAGGCTTGCAAGTGACACTCAGGGCTACCCTTTCCCACTCCGTCTTTGGGAATGTTACTGTCACCCTCACAGAGAAGCCTTGTTAGGACTCCACAAAGACCAGTGCAGGGCAGCCTTCAGCCTGAATGTGCATGGGCACCAATGTGCCCACCTCCAGGGGCAGTAGGGGCAGTACCTACCTCCTCCGCAGGAGACGGAGCATTCAGAGCGCAGGACGGCCCATGTGTAGCTGGGCGGGGCGATGGGCTTCTTCTCAGCCTCCACCTGAGGTACCGAGTACTCCCAGGCAACGCCCGGGTTCCTTCCCTGAAACAGAAGCTATGAAATAGGAAAGGAGAAAAATAAAACGAATTAATGTGAGACCAGTAAATACATGCTAATTTGGTTTAAACTATTTAAAACAACAATACTGACAAAAAGTTGGTTATGATGGTAACATAAACCCAGCCCATCCTCTAAAATTTCCATCAACTTTCTAAATAGAAATAGCACTCTCATCTAGACTCAAGCAAATCCAGCAAAACATCTAGACATTCTCTCTCACCTTTCATTTAGTGTGTTCCTCCATACAAAATACTAAACCCCTTGCAAACTAACGAAAGATCCTAGGTATGCATTTCTTTGGGACCCCTGCAAATCCTCTGCATCTGACAGAATCAGAAAGTGACACCTACTAAGAGCTGTTGCACTTTCTAGTGGGTTCCAAATGACCCAGAACACTTAAATAGATACCATCCACACCTGATCAAAGCTCGATTAGCGCACTTTCTACTCTGAGAGACGAGGGGGACTTTTGCCTACTGGCAGGTGCCCTTTAAGTCCAGGGAAAAGATATTTTGTTACTAAACAAGATCACTCAGAACTGGCATCCCTGCGAGTCACAGTTTAGGGCGTGGGATTGGATTTGGACTCCTGGCTTGAAACCCAATCATGTGGACCAGTTATCATTTCTCTCACAATCTATCAGATCCCTAGATCTCAGTTGAGAAGGATTTTTTGGAAACCTCACTGTTAACCTGTTGATACAAATTCCATGCCTAGGTCTTAGAGTCTTTGCTGTCCTTGATGTGAGGCTAAGGTGCCCTTCCCTGACTCCCCTGGCACCATGCTCCACCCCTGGCTGATGACACAGCTCTAGTCTTAGTTGGTGCGGAGCTGGTGGGACAGGTACAAGCCCAGGACAGGTGGCTGCACTGCAAGGCCACTGAGATGCTCTCCATCCTTGATGTTCTGAGCCTTTGCAACTCTTCTCCTATCAAGAACTGTTTACTAACAAGCCTCCACTCATTGTCAACACGGGCCCACCTCTCCTACTCTCTGATTATTAAAGCTATCAGCCTTAGATGGTGGGAGGGACACTATCAAAAGAATTCAGGATGAATACATCTACACAGGGGTGGAAGGAGGAAGATGGAGGCAGGAACTAAGATGCTGCAGCTGCCCCGCAACTAAGCCACACCAGATCACCTGGTGAAGCATCTCTCAGGAAGACACAAGAGGATAGGACAGGGCTGACAGTCCCAGAGAGCAGGCGGGGGCGTCTGGGTGGCTACCACCTCCATAGCAAGGTGAGGGTTGATGGGGCAACTTCCGAACCAAGTGCTTTTCCTTACTGTGCACAGAAATATGACAAGGTCAGGAGTCAGCACATCCACAGCCTGCCACTGCCACCTTCCCAGTCACAAGGGATAGACAGTGCTGCCAGAGAAGCCTGACTGTGTTTTGAGAGCGCTGCATTCATGGGTGGAAACCAGAAGGGCTTGGGTCAGGAGGGCACGGGGTTGGTGTGTCTGCTGGGCTGTGGCTAGCAAAGGCTAACACTGTGACACAGGAAGGAACCTCCTCTGGCTGTTGTCTGTCCCTACTGTCGCGGGACACAGCAGCAGAATACTGACCCACCCCAAGCGCAGGCAGAGGAGAGCCCCCCACCACAAAAAAATATGCGTTTATCTCTCACAGACACAGAGCTGACCGGAGAGAAGACTGCAGAAACTGACTGACAAATAACCCCAAACAGGAACACATGTGAGTACATAAATATAAACTTAATCATATATCAAAAAATGAAAGATAATCAAAACAAGTCTACTGCCCCATTCAGCCTGTGGATGGATTACTCTTGTTTGTGATAACTGTAAACATTCTTCTATGTACTTAAAATTATGCCAACAGCCATGGACCTATTACAACACCAGAAGATCCCCAAATCCAAGCCCTAAAATGAAGAGGCTGGTCTCTACCTCCACAATCAGCGTCTCGTTGGTTGGTCCAGGAGAGATTAAGTTCTCGGGCTCGTTATAGGACCGTCTGTAGTCAAAGGCAGTGCCAGAAAACTTGTATCGCCCAGGTCGGTCCACGGTCCAGTGTCCGTTCAGGTAGTATCTTTTGAGGGCATTGCGCACAGAAATGTAGGAGGTGGATACGTTCATTTCATAGATGCGAATACTCCGGGCTCCAGGAGGGATGGTGACCATGTGATAATACTCTAGGTGAAGGAAACAAGGGAAATACAGTATTTCATTCGATCATGCCAATGCAAAATCCCTTAGCAACTTCAGTTCTCAGTAACCAAAACTTGAGAATCCACATTTGGAACTAGGGGAAGATCTGTTTTGGCAATCAGTTACATCAGACCTATAAGTGACCTCTTTTCATTAACTGGAGCAGAGCTCTTGTGATTTTCACTATTCTTAAGAACGATTTTAATTCAAGTAACCACTTCCAATCAAAGCAAAAGGTTTGAGAAGCACAGAGCTACCTGAGGCAGGAAATGAGCCAAGGGAAGGCTATTGAGAACTCTGACCACCTGCTGTCTCCACTGTCACCCCAAGCTCCTCCCACTAAGAAGCTCCGGTGAAACTCTCCCTTGCCCAAGCCTTGCAGGCAGCTCGAAGTACTCACGGTTGGTGTGGTGGAGCTTGGTGTAGAGCCCCCTGTGAATCGTGCAGTCTGAGTTATTCCCCCTGCAGATCCCGCAGGCATCTTCAACAGCATCAGACCCAAGGACATTGTCACATCCAACTCTCTGGAGGACCCACAAGGTCACATGTCATTCATGAAAGAAAGGACAACACAAGCACCAATGTCACCCATCTCTGGCAAGAAACCTCCTCCCTACTAGGGCCGAAAATTTCACCAACTCAGGGTAGTTAACAAACATTTATTGGATACCCAATATGTGCCCAGTGGGACTGCAATGCTACTCTTCATATCCAAAGTAGGAAGCTCTTTAATGGGAATCAGAACCTGTCCCGCTCAGTATTGTTACACAACGCAGTATCTCGAGCCCTAGATTAAACCTACAGTCGTCATGTTGGAGACACAGGCGAATTTCAGACTGACATAAAGGGCTTAGTTCAATGACAAGCAACGTGTCTACACAAGGTTCCATTAAGTATGCCATTGTGCTTTTGAATAGTCTGTGCAATGACAGAGAAGGAACAGAAGACATAGGAAATTCCCCTCAGTAGTAACTACGCAAAGGGCATGTTCGTCCAATGCCTTAGAACTTCAGGCACTCGTTATAACTTCTATGATGCTTGTTTGCTTTCCATTTCCTAACAAAGAGAATAGACTGTCTACATAAAAAATCTATTCAGAAACAAAAGAACTATAGTCCACAAGCCCTCGCTTGAAATCCTTAAGGCCAGATGCATTTCAGAACTGAGTGTTTTTAGAATTTAAGACAGGTAACAGGTATCACGCATATAATGCATATGAGAGTCCCAGAGGGCCTAGGGCAGAATCCCATAATAAACACATTAACGTTTCTATAGCAAAAAGCATACATATACACTAAGCAGAATGAATAAAAATGATCAATAGTTTCACATCAGTTCAAGGCAGGTTTTGTCACCAAGCAAGTTAAGGTCCCAAAAAACTTTCACAGCTTTTTGGATTTCAGTTGTTTGGATTTTAGTTACAAATAAGAGATTGTGACACTGTATCATTAAGAATACCTAAATATGATAAAATATTTAACAAATCAATTAATAATTAGACACAATTGAGCGTGTTACAGCTGAAAGAGTTCTTAATGGAATCATCTAGTCTCCTTATCATGCATTAAAACTGCTGCGCTAAGGCTCTCAGTGCATTATCCAACTCTACCATGGGCACAGAACTCAGAGGAAGCTACAACTGAAACGGAGGTCTTTGTACTCCACGGAATATGATATTAACTTTACTAAAAACCCATTGTTTTCATGCAATGCATCTGATCTGGTAACACCTTTGATAATAAAATTCTTTCCACACCTTGTCTCTGCCAATGGCGACAAGCTCGTCATGTGGTGCTTACTGAGCCTCCAACCTTTTCCACCTGCCATTCCGAGGGGAAGTTACTGCTGCAGGAAGTTGCTGAGACCACGGCAGGCGTTGCAAAGGGGCCTGGGCTCTCAGCCATTCCTGCCTTCACTGACTCTCCACGCTACCGCCCAGAAACTGTGACCTGACCCTGTGGCTCCCATGTCCCCACACCCAATGTCTGATCTAGGTGGACACAAGGATAAAAACCCCAACTCCTCATCCTGGCAGCGGGTGTCCCTTGGGGAGCCGCTTCTCACCTCATGCACCTCCCTGAGCAAACCAGGCCCCTGCCTGCCTTCCGGGTATTCTGCTGATGGCATCAGCTCCTACCAACCCATGCCTCTGGCACCGCGACATTCCCTCTCTCCTTCCCCAGTGTCCCTCTTCCAGCTCCCTCTTTGAGGTCTAGCTCAGATGCGGGTGCTCCCTTGTCCCAGGAGCCTTGCAAGTGTTCCAGACCCACATCTGAGAGGGAAAGGGCTCTTCCCCTCTCCTCATTCCCTGCACACACCTCCACCGGAACAACGGGGTGTGTCAGCAACGTGTGTGCTCCCGGCTCTCTCCCCCACCGGGCTGTGCGGGGAGGGAAGGGGCTTGTCTTCTAAGTCTGGCCTTTCTACCCCTACAGGGTGCCTGGCACATAGCAGACTGTCTGGAGACATTTGTTGAACGAATGAAGGATCATTATTACCTCACATATCCCATCTATACAAACATTACGGCTATCCTCCGAGCATGGAGTCCCATCTTTGACTTTATTTGACAAAGAAAAGAAGAAATCAAATCCTTCTGCGATACAGTAGAGTTTGCATAAGTCCTGATCTTAAAAAGAAATACACACACAAACACAAATAAGAAAGATACTTAAGCTCTGATCATTTTTGCTCTGAATTTTAGATAGACTTTTTTCCCCATAAAATAGCTCCCCACAATAATACATTGCAATGACATTTTTCATGGCTGCCTCATCATGCTCCCCCTCATTTGTCATTATTACTTTGTATTGCTTCTCTATTAAATTTACTCTACAGTGTCTTTCATGATCCTTGTTTACACAGTGGGGGCACATAGTAGGCATTCAATAAATATTTGTTGACCTAACTACAACATTAATCTTTTATGATTTTGCTAGTATCCTTAACTACTATTTTGTAGCAATGTAAAAAAGTCACTACCATTTTGTAGCAATACACAAAATTCTTACAAATAAAATACAATAAAATAATAGTCACCAAATTTCTTAATGCATTTGAGGAAATACATAAAAATTTTAAACTAATGAAAAGAATAACTTTTAGATGAAATCTCCAGATAATAAAGTTTTCTACAAATATAATGGAGTGTCAAAGAATATTGATACATAAAGAAATAGGAAGTTTAACTTCTTTCCTCAATAATCCATTTCAAGGTCTTATGGTTTATATTTAATATGAACTTTTGTAGAAACCTTTCCTTTTGGTTCTCTTCTTGCTAAAGAAGGAACAGTTGATGATGAAGATTTTGTCTGCCATACAAATTTTCATAGGCCCAAGACTCATCTGCATTTTCCTTATTGTTCAAGATAAGAGATTCAACTGAATAATTCCAAGAATCAAATTTAGCGTGTGACTCCATGATTAATGAATTTATTTGCCGAAGATTGGCAAAGTCAGGAGTAGCACACACATTTTTGGGCTTTGATTTCAAAGTTCATTCTCCTGCCTAATGGTTTGTTTTTCTCCTACTGGCTTAATTTTTACAGTTTAAGAATAAAAGCACAACTAAACATGCTTTATGTGGGATTGCTTGTGATTTCCCTTCCAGAATTTGGCAACTTCATAAATCTGCCACCATGAGAACATGATATCGAGATGATGAAAGTAAATGTCAGATGGAATATCCCAAACTATGTATTTCCAAAGTATCTCTGCCATTTTCTTAGACAGAATTCCCAATTTTAAGGAATGAGATGATTAACTGTTCTTTGAATTTCTCCTTGACTATGCCACTTGAGCTACTGACTTCAAGTTATTATAATCATGAGAGCAACACATTTCTTTCCCATTGGAGAATAAAATCTTACATCTACCACAAATAAACTTATTGGTTTACAGTTATAGATTAAGACTTTCTGAATATAAGATGCTTGAAAATTGAAATAGTATTCAATTTTCCAAAAGGTACAAAAATTTTTGTTTCATTCTTTGACAGTTATAGGTGTCCAACAGATAACACGCATATAGCAACATCACCATCAACTGCTGCAATTCTAAATTTAAAAAAACACGCATTGATCCCATATCAACACGTCATCTACTTGGTATTTTTTATCACTTCTTGGATGCGTTTCATTGTATTGTGCACACACTCTCTATCTGGTGTGTTGATTTCTGACCGCCTAGCCAGTAAAGTTTAGATAAGATTCCATGACAGTGGGTCAGGCAAAACCAAACCAACCACCAGGAACAAGTACGTGACAGTGACCTCTTGGAAGGATGTCTGGTTTCTCTGACACCACACCATTGATTACGTCATTCTTTAAACAGTAAAGCACAGGCTTTTACCAGGGAGTAATTAGAGATTTACCTTCCACGTGAGTGTAAGGTTTCCACGTGTAGTGCCGCCCTCGGAATCGCTTGCTGTTGTACTCAGCACACTGGGCAGCACGGAAGTCAACACTGTCCTGGGGACATTTCTGACTGTTGCAAAGCTTTAGGGTGCGAGGCGAGCCCATGCAAAACTTCCCTCCTTGCGACGGTCTGGAATGTATATTTCGTAGTTAGAAACCTCATAGTTTAGTAGCTCCTCAGCCCTTCCTTGAAGTTAGGCTAACTAGAGACGGAGCTGGTGGTGTTAAATGCCTAGAGTGGGTGGGTAACTGAGACAGGTGGGTTTCTAAGCACTGACAGGTGCTTTCCTACACGTGAACGACTCAGGTTGCGCTTCCTTTTCCATTTGGTGTATTGTTAACAACAGGAGCAGGACAGGCCGGAATCTGGCAAGCGTCTGGCACGGACTTGTCCTTGCTGTCCCCAGCTCCCCTGGAGCAGGTGGGCCTGGCTTTCCTCACACTCCCCGGGGAGGACTGGCTGAGAAGGGCCATGGACCCCCAGGATGGTACAGTGAAGAGAAACAGAACTCAGACTGAAATTCAACAATGTCTCTCCAGACCTCAACTTCTTTCTGCTACCAGCCTCCTGGTGACGAGGCCAGGATCCGAGAACCAAATCAGAGGAACCGTTCCCTTTTGGGGTTGGCACCAACAGCCAATACCCCTGCTCGCCCCTGAGAATCCTGGTGTACACACCTGGGGAGAGCATCCTGAGGGGACAGGGGCGGGGCCCTTTGGGTCCTAAATGAGTATGCCTTAATCAAACCGGGAGCAAAAGGGGAATTTAAAAGCCTCTTCCCTCCACCACGCTGGTGACTGCTTCTCACATTCTTGTCTTCTTACAGAAGCCCACAATTAAATAAACCCCCCATCGTGAAGGTAAAGATATTTCATGAAATCTCCAAAATTTATTTTTTTCACATGAAACAATTATTCTTATTCATTTGTGTTCTATATACTTTTCTCGTGATTTATTCATTTGTTTTAAACATACCCTTGGTATTGCAAGTAAATGCGGTTAAAATCCAATTCCTGGCTATCACTGTTGGGTCTGTTACTTTTTGCTGTGATCAGGTAGTTGTAAGCATCTTAAATTATACCAAAGACAGGTAATTCCTTAAGAAATGCTTGAGTAAAATGCCTTTCCTACTATCATTTTCTACGATGATATGTAAAGTGCAGAATTAATACTATGGAGCTTAGTTAGGTGCAGGCATGCTGTTTGCAAGGTTCATGGCATAGAAATCTCTTGCCCATGAGGAAGGAGGCCAGGACATACACACCTGGGGTTGGAGCAGAGGCGGTCCCTGTGGGACACCCCTCCCCCGCAGGTCCTGGAGCATGGGGACCAAGGTGACCAGTCTGACCAATGGCCGTGGGTGGGCTTGGGGCCTTCGTCGCCATACTTCACACACTGCCCTCCACGGCACCACTAAAGATTTTAAAAATACATAAATAAAGTTTACTTGACTCATGGATACATAGGTGGGTTTATTTCATAGGTACTTAAGCACCGTAAGGCTGAGGAGTAGGAAATTTTGTAAAATCTGCAGACATTAACATCCCTACCCTCAATAGCATCTAGTAAAAACACAGTAATTTCATATGATTTCCTTTATTCTTTCCAAACCTAGCATCCTTCTATAAATCCACACGCAGAGAAGATGAATAGAAAACTCATTTTCAAATGTCTCAGCTCCTGGAAACGATGTGCTTAATGAAGGGGTGCTGCTCGAACAGTCTGCTCAACTCCCAAGTCAGTGAACTCTGACCTCTCCTGAACACAAGGTGCTTTTCACATCTCAGTTCCAGAACAGACAGAGTCTCAGGTGGGAAAGTGCAGCTGGAGGCTCCGTGTGGCTCAACACCTTGTCATTTCTGGCCGGCACTCCCAGCTTTCACCCCAAAGCACCTGGGCTGACAGCCTGCAGATTATTACCTGACGGCATGTCAGAGGCCACACAGCTTCCAAGGAGATGAAACAATCCACGTGGAATTCCGTCTGTCCCCACAAGGCTGGAGATGCTATCTGCATCACTCTTAATGCATGCGAAATTCCACGTGGCTACCTGCTCCACCGCACACTAGTGCCGTGCATGTGTAACTGTGTCCCATGGCATTGCTTCCCCCTGTGGTTCTGTGTAGACTTCAAGGATCTTATAGGTCCAGGCTGTCCGTTGAGAGGAGGAAGGAAGATGCTTGCCACTTGTCACTGGCCTGGGAGGGCCAACAGAGCTTGGCCTGTAGGCTGGGTCACCCCTTTCTATCTCTAAGATTAAAGCCACCAGATTTGCACTGAGAGAAAACAATGCTGCTTTTATAAGAGGAAAATAAGGCTTCAATTAATAATTAATATATTAGATAAAACATGTCAAACCACTGATATCTGACCATTGTTGGCATACTGAAAAGGCAATTTCAAATGATTCCATTTCACATTACTTAAGGAAGAAAAATTGAGTTTAAAAGCATAAGTAATTCTGAGGACTAAAGCCTCATGCATTCAATTATTCAATTCTTTTCTGTAAGCAAAGCAACAGTCTCTCTTGCACCCCGACCTGTCCCTACCCCAGGAGGAGAACCAAGTCCACAGCCCTGCTCAGCTCAACCAGGGACCATGGCTGGGAACAGGTGTCTGCTCTCAGTGGCCTCCTGCAGGACAGAAGAGAAATGGAGTGGAGACAGGAGTGAGGCCTGATCTCATGGGTGGAGGACGGGACCGCATAGGGCAGGGAGAAGCCACATGTGTGTTTGTTGTTGCTGTTGTTTATTTAGTTTTGTTTTTAAAACCATCCAGTGGTAGCTTTCTAATGCAGGAGATAGCAAACATGAAAGCAAGAATCAACGAGCTGAATAACTCACGAAGCGTTTCTAGGAAAATCTACTTTGATTTCAAGATGAAGAACAGAATTTGAAGCTCCAGAGTGAAGGCAGGTAAGTGGCAGACAGGGGCTCTGTCTTGAAAGCAAGCGTGTGCAATTTGTCGGAGAACCACCGCTTTTACCAGGGACCTATGCGCAAACTCGATGTGGACCCCAACATTGCTGTCGATCTGTTGTCATTACCCAGCAGAGTCATAGACTCAGAAAGGGTAGTGACATTGTAAGAGCTTCACTCTCCTTTTTAAAAATAAACTTTTTTAAACAGAAAATTTCAAAGATATATACAAGTAGAGTAAATAGCATAAGGCCCCATTGAAACTGGCACCCTTGCCTCAACAGACATCAACTCGGGTCCAATCTTATTTCACCAATACCCTCGCCCACTTTCTGTCTCCCCAACACTGACTTCAAAACTTAATGTCATTACTTCAAAGCTACTTCACTGTGGGCTCCCAAAATTTCTTTTCTTTCTTTCTTTCTTTCTCTCTTTTTTTTAATTGTTTTGTAGACATAGGGTCTTTCTATATTGCTCAGGCTGATCTCCAACTCCTGGGCTCAAGCAATCCCCCCAAAGTGCTGGGATTATAGGTGTGAGCCACCATGCCTGGCCCACAATTAAGGACTTTAAAAAACATAACCACGATGTCATTATTATGCCTTGACACTTACAATAATTTCTTAATATCTAGTGGGTGTTCGAAATTCCAATTTGCCTTTTTTTTTCGGACATGTTATTAATAGAATCACAGTTGAAATAAGGCCCATCTCTTGCACTTGGCTGTTAGGTCTCTTATGTCTCAGTGTTTAATGTCTCCCTTGATCTTCTCTTTTCCCTGAATTCACTTGGTGAGGAAACGATCTGCTTGTCTGGCAGAGTTTCCCCAGTTCCAGTTCTTGCTGGATGTGTGTCCGTGGTGCCACTGAACCTGTTCCTTTGTCCCGGGATTTGCTGAGATCCGGCAGTTGCCTCTAGAGACTTGGTTAGGTCCGGAGTTGAATTTTGAGCCAGCCTGCACCACAGGTGGCTCTCTGTGTGTGCACACACAACTCCTCCCCACACCTGGAACTTGATGACAAGACGCTTCAGTGATGCGGGGATTGCCAGGCTGACTTGCCCACTGTAAAGTTCCCCATCAGTCTCCCACCTGATAATTTTAGTAGCCATTGAAAAAAATCACTTCGTAGATCCTTTATGTATCTGAGTGTTGAAAGAATGATAATATTAAAATTCTATCTTTTTTCTTTTATTCGTTTTCGTGACTAGCTGTATTACTTCTTTTAAGAAAATGTAGTCTTCATCAAATGTCTACATACCCTGACTTTGAGTTCACACAGGAAAACAATGATGCTTTCTCCGTATGTTAAATTAAGGTATGCTAATGCAGTATGCCTCTTTTGGAAACAATGGCTTCAGAGTCCCTTTGCTGGGACTCAGGAATCTCTGACAGGCTTCTAGCTTTCTGACTCAACAAGGTGTCTCAGGCTTACCTTTTACATTCCCTGTTATAGGCCTGGAATCATCCATTCGCACAAGAAGATCCTTTCACTGGAAAAACTGGGTTAAGAGGCTATAATCTGTCCAGGGGGTGGTCATTGCTACTGATTGGTCAATTGACAAAGTTTCTGTTTGTGTCTGTATTTTTTGTTTTAATTTTAAAGAAAATTGCTTTACTAGTTCATAGTAGTTTATCCAATTCAAATTTAGGATTATAAATGTTACTTTGCTTCTTTGATTTTATATATGTATCTCTTTTCTCTCACACATCAAAAATCTTGGTTCTTAACATAAACACATTCACTATTTCCTTTGTCCCATACTACGTATTTAGTAGTTTCAGAAGAGCACAACCAATCCATGAGTAACAATACAATTGATGAAAATGGTTTAAAATATTTGTAGTACCTTTTACGCCATTGGATATATCCCACTTGAGATAGAGGTCAAATTATGGGGTTTTAAAGTCACTTGAAGTAATTCCTTTGTTATGGTTATGATTAAGCCAATAACTCGGTAACAATTAGGTTAAATTGTTTCATTTTGCTTTTGATATTTAGGGACTGCTTTAATAAAATTTCAAATTACTTAAAATGTTTATGTTTTTTTCAACATTTAGGGTTTATCCTTTTATTTTTTAATATAAGCAAATAATTATGCCAGTTAGTATTTCCATTTCTTTGATGAATGACAGCACACTACACAAAATTTTTTCCATCCTGCTTTCCCACTAACCTGTTCTGCACATCATTTCACGGAAGTGTATAGCCATGTCCCTCATTCCATTTTCATGGCTACATAATACTCCATGGGGTGTTTATCCAGCCAGTCCTCTCTTGAAGGCCATTTCATCATTCCCAGTCTTCTGCTTAGGTGCTGATTGCTGCAATTAGTTTCCTTGTAAATGTATCTTTTGCTATTTCTGCCAGAGTATCCTTAAGTGACTGTCCTATTTATAAAAATTATTTTTAAAAAACTCTTTTTGAGAATCTGACAAGAAAGCACTCTATCTTCTGCCAAGGGGGTTTGGGGAGATATATGGGTGCATGTAGACACACACACACACACACACACACACAAACACACAATTTTGCATACAATGTCAGGCAGATCACAGACCTGTGTTGAATATACATACAGATTTCCACTGGAATACCAATTAGGTTTCTTAGGACTGACTGACTTGTTTTTATCACAATTTTGTATTTTATTGATGGATATTGTGGCTTATGAAAAAAAGGCTTCATCTTAGAAAGTCAGATGTCACAACAAAGTGTCTATTTCCGTTATGCTTAAGCTTCACAACATCAGCATATCTCATGTAAATCCAGAGGATATGGGGAAGCAACGTGATCAAGTGGAAAGACTGACTCTGCGGAGATAAAAATGAGCATTGCATATCCGCTCTGTGAGCTGTGTGATCTGGGGCAAGTTACTCAAGTACTCTGAGCCTTCCGTCCTCCTCTGAAAATTAGGGAGGAGAGAAACTACCAGATTTAGTTATGGTGAAGAGCCAGTGTAGTAACACAGGCCAAGTCCCTAGCACTGAAGTTGTTATCATGACAAAGGGAGAACTGGTTTAAATTCGCCAGAGGGAGCCACGGCGACTAAAGAACTGGACTCCGCGCCGGCACGTGTCGGGCTGTGGTCCCCACTCATCCTGGACTTCTCATGGTCGTGCACGGAGGAAACCTGGGTCCCTCTCCTGGAAGAGCCCTTGGCTGCACAATGGGACTGCGGTAGGCTCCCGCAGAGGGTTGTTCTGAGGGTGAAGTGCGGGGAATGTGCTAAGCATGGGGTTTGGCATTGAGAAAGAAAGACAGAACAGCTGACCGCTTCTGCCCAGGGTCCGGCTGTGTGATTGGTGGGAACCTACGCTGTCCTAACATGCCCTAATTCTTTTCAACATGAAGGAAAAAGCTATATTTGAAATACAAGGGAAAATAATTTAAAATGCCAGTGAAGATTAATTCAACAGTGCTTTCAAGGTAAGTACAATGTAACAAGAACGTGAGGACCATTTTGAGGAGCACCTCAGCTACATCACCCAGGAAGAAACCACGTGTGAGCAAAAGAAAGTAGGATGCCAAGAGAGCCACCCACGCCGCCTGTGAGAACCCACACGCAACGACAGAAAGGCTGCCGACCTTCCAAGGAATAGCATAATGTTTGCAAATTATCACCTGAAGAATACATTTTAATCAGTTATGAGCAGAAAAGTCATGATTATCTGCAGCACAACCCTCAGCCAAACTGCCTCAAATCCTTCGACCAGCAGAGTTTCCACACTGCAGTATCTCGCTTCATCCATCTTCTCTTTCGAGAAACTGAAAGCATTTTCATTATATTTTTTATGGATTAATTGAACTATTGCCTATATCACTGGAAGAGTTCAATTATCAATCACTCTCTTTGAGAAACTGAAAAATAAAGCACACAACGGCACGCCTGGAAGGAAAGGTTGCTGGGTGCTTCTCAAGTACACACCCCTCACCTCTGTGCTCCTCAATCAGCATCGCCACGGTTTAACCGAAAGGATGTTAGCAGTGCTTGTTAACATTGCAAATTTCCTGTCTGTACTCACAGTTAAATATGTTTAGGAAGCGATGTAGTTTATTCAGAATTTAAACCACAAATCAATGATATTCAGGCATGTATTTCTCCTTCATATTCATTAATGTCACTAAAAAGGTCAAATACATAAAAAGCAAAAATGGTTACAGTGACAATTTGGGTTCAGTATTTTTCTATCCTTATCAATAAATAGTCTTTTATATTCTGAAAGAAATACAATCATAGGTTAGACCAAAAGAATTAAAATATTCCCTTGAGTGTTAAGATAATTTATTTTTTAAGTTTTAATGACAAAATTGTCATTCCATACCACTGAGTAACAAACCTGCTACCCTGCATAGTTCCTCTATTCCCCATCACAGCTCTATCTCTCGTCACAGGAGCAACAACAGGTCAAAATGGTCTGTTCCAGGCTCTTCAAACGGATGCGCCAAAGCTTTTGCAGTGCTAGCCAATGCTGGTCCTTTACACGGTTAAACGGGGATCACATTTTCATGTTTCCCCTTATTAAATCAATTCAGTCACCGCCTATTGTCTGACTTCCATGTCTATGAATTCCAGATGGCTCCTCAATTATACTTTCACAAAAGTGAGAAAAGGAGTCCTTTTCATAGTATCAGTATAAAATAAAAACAGTGTTGATAGACATGTAGATACCTACACATGCGTAGGAGAAATACAGGTTTAGAAAATACCAGTGCGAGAGGAGGAAAGGCGCGCGGATCGAAAGACTGACACCTGCCTATGGTGCTGCACCCAGCCTTGGCTTCTTACCATGTCGTGCCCACAAACAGTGCCTTCTGCCGCCGGCATAAACTTAGTTTCACATTTCCTTCCGATCCGATGGCACCACAGAGCTTTACAGATGTCCTAAAGAAAAAAGAGTCATTAGTATTACATACTGTTATTACATGCTGTCCGTAAATCTATGATAAATATCACTGAAAAGTTTAAGGGAAAAACAACTGATAGAAGTTAAAAATGGATGTTTACTTAGCAAGAGATTCACAAGATAGAGTGAATAGACCCATATTATAGACTTGGTTCAAATTAATTCCACCCCTGAAACTTTATTTGTACTTAGTCATTACCCATTCAATGAAAATTATATTTTCTAATTAAAAAAGTAAAATATGCTTAATCCAGACATTTCAGAAAACTATAAAAAATTAAGATTAAAAAGACCCCTAAATTTAACACTTTATATTCTTCTCAACCCCACCTCCCACTAACCTCTCCACCTCTGAATCTTCCTTTTTAAATTAAAGATGATTAGGACACTTGTTGGCTTATCCATCCATCCATCCCTCCCTCCCTCCCTCCCTCCCTTCATCCATGTATCCTCTATCCCCAAACCTTTGATAAAAAGTATGGGAGGCATCTTGCTGGGCAAAAGGTTCCACCTATACTGTTAAGTTTGGCCTTGAAGAACAAAGAGGGTGCACACGGTGCATGTGGAAAGCGGTGTGCCCCCGCAGAGAGGAGAGCAGAGTGCAGGGTGAGCTTCTCAGGAGGAGAACAGGCTTAGCCCGGAAGGCTCAGGGATGCAGTCAGAGAAGGCACCATGTCTAAGTCAATGCTTGAGCCAGGGGAGTTTGTCAGGAGGAAAGTGGGCAGCCTACAAGGGGGAAGGACATGTGAATGAAAGATTCAAGAATGAAGGGTGTGTGCAAAGGAAGGAAGACCCACATGGCTGGGCTGATCTTGCAGGAAACTAAAACAAGGTCTGATATTTATAAACTACAGAAGGCTCTCCAAGCATAAGGAATTAGTTTTATTTTCACATCCTTTGAGTCCCAAGGAATGTCTTAGTGAAGGGCAAACAGTAGGACTTGTGAAATGATAGAATCTTCCGGAATGCTGGCTGTAGCTTCGACTGGACAAGATGAAAACATTCCTTAAATTGTCTGCACAACTGTAGGGAATATTTGAACGAGTGCTGCATTATTTCCCAAGAAATTTAATGGCTGCATCTACTGGGTGATTCGTATTACAAGAAAAGCAACACACTGGAACATGTCAATACAGTTCCGCCAGAACGATGGCATTCTCTGCATGGTGATCTCATTCCACAATTGTGTGAGTCATCTCATGAGGGGTTTATTTTTAATAATCCATCTTAATTTTACCTTCAAAAAAGGTAAAATAGTAGTAGTTCTTGAATATCCTCCTTAAATGTAATTACACATTTAGAAATTAAGGTATTTATTAAAAACACAGCCTCATATTTTTCCTGCCTATATCTCTCTCACTAATAAATCAGCTTTTGAAAACTCAGAAGATTAACAAGTAAACCTTCAATGTTTTAATTCAGATATCAATTGCTTTTATTTTGAGCTATCCATAAATATCTCATGTGTTTACAATGCTCTTAAATTTCTTTTGAATTTTCTCTTGTCTTTTGAGTCCCCCAGGACCATCAAGCCTATCAGGGTAAACGTGTCATGTTGGTGGTCAGTGTTTTGTCTAGCTCACATCTTCTTCAGCAGGTAACAAGCAACGATGCTCCCATGTCTGCTTCTGTGAGGACTGTTGCTGAGACCACAGGCTCGCTCTCCTGCAGACAGGCAGTGGCTGCATTAATGAGGTATGTTGTGTCAGGGCCTCTGTTCTTGGCCAGAACAGCATTTAGATATCAGAGACAGACGAAGAACCCAAGGAATCCACAAAAACAGGGGTCTGAGTGTCTGTACCTCTTCAAAGAGATAACTTTGTTTGGTCAGCTCCATTTGCTTGCAGGAGTAACAACTTGATAAAATACCGGGATGTAAATAAAGCCTCCCTTGAAACCAGAGCCTGAGGACCCCGACTCAACGTCTGGGTGGCAAAGTGGTGGATCAGAGACCAGAGAGAGTGGCAGGGCGGGCACCGGGTCGCGCTCAGAGACCTGCTGCGTGGACCGGGCATAGAGACCTCCTGATTCGGGAGGCTGAGCATGCACACCTGAATGAATGAATGAATGAATGCACGTGAAAGAGGAAGCTGCTGGTGTGGCTGGGTAGCTGGGAGATGGCCACAGTGGTCTGGTAGAGTTTGGGATCCCGAGGCAGGTAGACAGATCTGGGCAGGCAGAACCCGAGTCCCACTGTGCATATGCGGATGATAACACCCAGTCATCAACTTGTCCTGGGGGCTAAATGACCTGGCTACAGGTCATGTGTCCAGCTCAGGGCCGGGCACCTAATCGGGATCAAAGCACTGTACTTTCCCTTGTCCTGTCAAGGGCTTGAGGTGATTCCAGCACAATCCCAGCTCTCAATCTGAGTTCATGGCTCTATTCTGTGGGCATCGTGGCCTTAGGGAGCTGGGGTCCTAATTCACGGGGCTATTTCTAAAACTACCCAAGACAATACCAGGTAAAGGTGCTGCAACATGTTAAATTATCTTGCTATATTCATCATCAGTACCTAGTGCAGTGCTTGCTACCTAACCGGCTTTCAGTAAATGCTTTGTACGCAAGTGAAACATCGCTTGTTTGTTCCTGTGAAAACCAGCAGGAAATTGTTAGTGTATGATAAAATTAATGACAATCAGTGAACTATATCAGAAAAAGTCTAATATAACTTAAGAGGACCACGAGATTCAGACTTTCATTCAGAGTAATTTCAGAATATTCTTATGTTTTAGTTTTTAGGAGCATTTTGCAGAATAAAGAAATATGGATGGAGGATACTATTAAAGGCAAGGGCTTTCAATTTTTTCTTTCCCCCCCTCCTGCCTCTCAACTTTTTAAAGTATAAATCTCTCAAATGTAGGATGCTGGTGATAGCTCACCACTAAAATGTGTGACTCCCTCATTCATCTGTGCCTTGATTCATACCATCTGTGTATTTCAGCCTCATTTTGGAACCTGCTCAATCCCTAATTCCAGTCCCAAGGGAGGAATAAATCATAAGAGTTAGAAGAACCTGGAAATATCATATAACCAATGATACTGTTTTCAACATACAAAAAAGCATATGGGCCTTGATACCCTATTGATGTAATTGTCTGCCATTTAATAAACATGACACTTTGTCCCAGACTAATAAAATCTCCAGCATCTCAAAGAGTTAGATGATAAAATAAAAATTTAACCACAACTGAACAACCAAAAACCAATTGCTTTCTCTCACTTTTATCATACTTTGACTTAACTGCTGGACATAACTGTATTAAAGCATTATTATTATAGGTTGCTTTATCCTTAATGAAACTTCAGAGTCCTCTTGGAACAAAGATTCTATTAAACCATGATTTTAGAGTCCAGGCAGTTGGAAAGTAAGTCTTGCAGGGTGTGGAGGGAGCTCCCAATTTAACAGCAGTACCCAGGATACTGAGACGATCAAATTTCAAAGTAATTCTGGCCACTTAAATTTCAGACTGCAGGGTCAGGCCACCAAGCAATGTGGACAAAGCAGAATAGGTACTTGACAAAAACAAAATATTTGTAATAACAAGTGCTTCACTCGGGCAGAAAAGCATCAACACTTACGCAAAGGGTTTACTTTTGCTTATCTTTGCAGCTTAGAAATTTTGTCTTCAGTGAAGGTTCTCACTTATTATGCTAGCGCATAGTTTAAGGGTAATGTTCACAAAGACCAATTTCAGTAATAATGACTTACTTTCTTAAGCTTAATATCACAGCATAACACTCTAGATAAAACCAACATTTTAAGATGACTGGGTTGGAAATTTATTGGGGCACTTCAATATTGTGAATAATAGTAAGCCACTAGATTCATTTCCTCAATCTGTATTATACTTCTCCAAAATACAAACTGAGCATGCAATTACAAGTGATGTTATAGTCAGATATACAGTGCATTGTAATTATTTATTTTTCAAGCAATTGAATGCTTTTATCCCTAATTTTGATTATCACTATACATCAGTGAACAGAGAAGGCCATTGCCATGTATTTCTGTGAATTTATACACAAGTATGTAAACATACATCTATACACACCAAATACACATTCATTTATATAAGAGAAGGATGCATATGTATTTAAATTACCTATTTACTTTTCAAACTAAATAGTATAAGATATTAAAAGAGATTCATCCCTTTCTAAAATATCATCCATCCATCTATTACCCAGATTAGCAAATTTTTACTGAGTGACTCTAATGTGCCCAGTGCTGGTCTAGGCACTGGGTAATTTGCTTGTTATTTATTGTTTTATATCCTCCCCTCAGAAAACATCTTTACATTTCATTCTAACAAAATAGATCCGTTTTAATAACAATTTGGCAGGAGTTCATTTAAAAGATTAAATTTTATAGTTCAAAATGTCCCGAGATGTTTCAATCTACATGGAAAATAGAGAATATCTGATTGCCAAACCACATCTAATTTTGAGATTTGGTGTATTAGCAGTTCTGGCCACACAAATAGAATTTATTTTTTTTTAAATAAAATATATAAAGTTTGTCTTCAAGAATAATTTTACATCATAGGAATGATCTGACATTATGATAAATTATCTGATTTTAATAGATATATATTTTTTATTTCAAAAGATACTTCCTCTACTGTCTATGATGGAGTAAACTGGTAGCAAACTCATTTTTCTGCAAAACAAAAGCAAAAGCACAAAAACAAAAACAAAAGTAAACCCCAAAACTATATGGACCAAATATAGAGACCAATTGTTCTAGGCCTTGACAACAGACAGCAGAGTACTGTGATGCTGGAGAGGAGGGAGACACACAAGGTAAGCACCACACCTGCCCAGCTCTCTATGTGGGAGTGCTTTGCTGAAAGCGCTGCAGCAGGTGGATCTCAGGCAGACAACGGCGCTTCACTGATTGGAAGATGCAGAGGTCAGAGCTGAGGTCTGTTCTAATAGCCAGAATCTGTGGCAGTGGACCTGAAAGCAGAAAGCT